AGATTTTCTCTCTGGAGGTTGTAGCTAATAAATGCAACAGAACTGTATTTGCATTGTCTCTTGGAGTTCTTTGGGCTGAACCTGACACCAGGAGATGGACCGGCCTCACGACTCACCTAAACACCGGGATGGCCTTGGCAAACCGGATGACTTGCTGGATCATGAAGGTGCTGAGGTCAGCAAACAAGGGCAAGGTGGAGAAGACATCAGGCAGGACCTCCTCTGAGCTGTCCTCCATGTGCTCGTGGGAGTGCAGAAGAAACAGAGGAGCGGACGGGACTTCCTGAGGGCCTCGGGTTGGCGGACTGTGGAAGAAGAGTCGGACCGGAGGCTGCAGGGAGAAGCTGGATCAGAGGCCTTGGCTGAGGATACGGGGGACTCCTTCTCCCAGGGTGGGGCAGCCCCATCCCATTGGTATTTCTCCAGAAAGCTATGGATAAGCTCACTCTAATTTAGCCTCAGGATAATGGGAAGAAGGAACAACCTTGAGGGACAGGAGGAAGAGCCACAACCAGGACAAGGGTCTTCTAAAGCCTCCGTTTATCCCCAGCTTCCCTGTCCCAGGACCACGTTGGCTTCTGCACCCATTTGACCTTCGCAAATGACACTTCTGGGCGGTCACAATCCATGAATCATTCATTTCTCCTGCATCTGAATTTGGGTGCAGGGGATTCTGGGAGTTGAAGTCCACACACCTTAAAGTTGACGAGGTTGAGAAGCCCTGTTCTAGATAGATTGGGCTGATTCTCATCATCCCTAAACTGCCCTTTATCTCCTTGGTCAATCATCTACAAGCTAAACTCAAAGTTCCTGTCCATTCCAAGCCAGTCTTTTGGCCTATTGTTGGCTATGCGTTGCATTTCTACTCCTTCCTTCCCTCCAGGAACTCAAGATGACCTGCAGAGTATTCCCAATAACCCTGCGAGGTAGGCCAAGCTAGGCTCAGAAAGCTAGGCACGGGGGAGCTATCCCATCTGTAATGGGAAGAAGGAACAACCTTGAGGGACAGGAGGAAGAGCCACAGCCAAGACAACAGCCAGATAAAAGAAAACTGAATCCGGGCCAGGACTGTAACCCAAAAAAGCATCTGAGACAGACTTTCCCTAATTCTCACGAAGATAAAGGGAGGGAGCGGGGAGCGCATTCAGACTTGCAAGGTTGTATTTATAAGTAGTCTTCACATGCGTGATTTTACTTTCCACACCCAGGCGTGCCTCTTCACCACCTTTTCTTTCGGCCACGTCTGGGGCTCGGTTGAAACCCAGACGAAGAGAAGCTCCTGGATGGCTGACCCAGGTTCAGGGGGTTGTGTGAACCGAGCCCTGGAATGCCATCTTGGAAGGTAGGTAAGGCTCTGAAAAAACCAAACTAATCTGTCCCACCTCCTTCCTGCTCACTTGGTAGTGGATGAACTGGGAGAAGGTGGAATCAAAGTTTTTGTTGTGTGCTTCTGTGAGGATCTCGATGAGCTGCTCTTGGTCCGGAGAGAGGCTGTGTTCCTCCGGCAGTTCGGTGGGGAGAATCGGGGCCTTGGGCTTCTTCTGCCTCCGCAGCGCTCGGCGGACACAGAGCACCTCCTCTGACATAATCACTGGGAGAGAAAGAAGAACTGGGGCTCCAGTGATCATGATTCGAACTCTGCACCAGAGTTTGCTTTAACTCTGATTCACAAACCCCCAACAGATTCTCACACCGTACCGGGCATGCCAGCTAGGAAGGAAGACGGGAACCTATTTTTGCCTTTTTCATTGGTTCTTTCCACTTCTTCGAAGCAACTGGGCCTCTTGGAATTTTTATTTCCAACTTTCCTTTTCCCTCCTCGGCTTGCAGAGACCCAGCCAGCTTGCTTAGGGACCCGCCAGCCTGCTTGGCTCAAATTGGTTTGCCCCCCAGCCTCTGTCCCGGTTGGAGAGGGCTTCTAGCGTGAATATCCCAGTGGGATATTCAGATGCAACCCCGGAGTGCCTGGCACGCGGTCTGGCGCCTGGCGTCTTCCTTCTTCCCTTGCAACCTGCCCAGGACTGGAGCTGCGGGTCAGAAGGCGACCGCAGTGCATCATCTCTCATCCGCCTCCTCGCCTGCAGTGGCCGCATCTTCCATCTTGCGCTTCCTTTTCTCTCCCCGCACCCCCCACCCCCATGCCCTGCGGTGCAAGATAAATCCAGAGTCTCGCTTGCCCCCAATTTCACCTCTACCAGATCATTCCAAGCTCCAGAGCACATCGATGGCTTCCGTGCCAGGACCGGAGCTCTGTTTTAGGAGTGAAACCTTCCTTCCTTCCTTCCTTCCTTCCTTCCTTCCTTCCTTCCTTCCTTCCTTCCT